AATAGATTTTTTCCTTTGAATAAGATCTTGTTTGTAGACTAGAGTTTCTTGAGTTTCTCTTTCCAGCAATGAACATAAAAATTTTGGGGAAGCCACTTTAACTGATTTTCCTTTTTTTCTATTAATGATTTGGTACATATTTATTGAATTTCACTTATATGTCAGAAACTAGAGAAGCTACTGGCACATTGGGAATCAAATTAAATTTTGATATTTCTTTGACAGCTTTGATTTTTTTTTTAATAAAAAAAGAAAGAAAAGGATGCTTGTACAAATACAGACAGGCAGAAAGAGCTGCCTCTTTGATAACTTCAAAATTAAACAAAGGGTTTAATTTAAGCTTGAGTTTTAAAATATGTAATTATTGATTTATAAAATAGCAACCAAAGTGTGCATATATTAAAGTAAGCACCAATTTGAACATTAGTTGTCAAATATTTATTTATAATTAAATATTTAAAGACTTTTATCTGTGTTCAAAGCTGATAACACATATTTGTACTTATTTTCTTATAGTAAATAAGTACAAAGACAAAGACAAAACTAAGAGGTTATATAATTATATGTAAATATTAATTTTTCAATAATACTCATTTTACATGTCTTTCAATAACAGCAACTGCCAACATAATTCTAGATGGCTAAAGTGAGTGGTGAGAAAATCTGTAAGTGCCGTACCGTAAGACTGGTTTAATTAAACACTCATTTCTAATAGCTCTCCAAATTGTATGCTTCTCCCCTCCATTTCCTGAGAAAACTCACCACCAGAGAAATTGCTAGAATAAGTAATATGTGCTTTGTATTTCTGAAAGGAAGAAACAAAGAACTGAAGAGAAAGGCTGGATTGTGAGGGAAGACAAGCACTTTTTGAGTGTAATGTGCGTGAAATTGTATGCTTTGGAAGAAAGACAAATTGTCAGCAGGATATAAAGATTCTTTTCTCAGAAATACTATAAGTGGATGGGTAGTTGTTTTATTGTTTTCTCCCTAACACAAGCATTCCTGTAAACTGGCTAAATGGGGGAAGATCTGCTGGAAGATGCCACAATTCCAATTCTAAAATCAGGCCAGAAGGAATGAGGGTGGGTAAGAGGGAAGATGGGAGAGCAAATAAATAGTGAGGTTTAACCTTTTGCTATTTGGGTCATCTCCTGGGGAGAAAACATCACTAAAGAGGAAAATCAAACCTCAAAAGAAAAACATAGACTATAAAAAGTCACACTGGCAATAATGTGTGACAGGAACAGGAAAGTATTGATTCATCTGTACGAAATTCGGTCACAAGCAAGGTATCTGTGAACCCAAACAAGAAAATACAGACAGGAAAACTTAAAAAAAAAAGTTAAAAAAAAATTGGTGATTTTAAAAAACTGGGGACAAGACAGTCAAAGACAGTGGCCTCATTATATTGCTTACAACTACTAGTTTTTGTTTATTTTTGGCATCTTTTATAAAAAGGGCATGTCATTTTTTCGGTTCAAGTTAAGGTTCTTAAATGTTGAATTTTTGTCTGAATTTCCTCTAATATGCTTCATTGATATTAATGTTTTCGTACATAGTTTTTGGCTTTATATTTTATCTTTTCCTTTTATATATATTTTCCATAAAATATCAACTTAAGGTCAACAAAATAAGATATCAAAAATAATAATTTACACATACCAATATTAAGAAAACATTCATAAATACTAATTATAATAGTAAATACATGAAACTATGTCATCTTAAATTAAAAATGGAAATGGTTATTACTGAATTGCATAACAAATAGAATACATTATATTACTTGTTCAATTAGAAAATCTTCAAATATTACTATATCCTAAATCTGAAGTTTTCCTTCTAGTAATACAATAAGGGTTTTTAAACAAGTGTATTAAGCACGCGGATTGTCTTTTTCAATATAGGTTAATTTAACCAATGTTTTCTCCTTCTTAGCTAAGAGCCTCTTTCTAAATTAAGGGCAGTATTTTTGTGGCAGGAGCTAGTTTAATTCATGAAATTTTAGAAGGTGTTTAGGAAAATGAAAGTTCATAGTGATTCAGCTGCAATATGAAGGGAAAATAAAGCTCAGAAAGAGTGAATGAACTAAGAAAAAGGATCTGAGCCCTTGATATAATTGCTTTCACCATGTCCCAATAGAATATTGATCAATGTTAAAAAAAATTAAATATTGAAATAATTGAGTAACTCATGAAAACACAAAGGGGAAAAAAAAAAAAAACTATGAGGAGTGCTACTGCTGGGGCCTTAAGCACAAGTACTAGAGAAAGATTCAAATCTTGTTTCTGCCATTCTCATACTATCCTACATTTAACATGACACATTTACTTATCCTATGGAGTTTCCATTTCTTCTTTAGTAAAATGATGATTCTCAAACCTAACACGGAGGATACTGTGAGAATTAAATAAAACAATGTATATAAATATTTAACACATGTAGTAAATGGCATCGTCGATAAATAATAGCTATTTTAAAAAAGATTTTTCTACTTTGGACAAAATCTATTTTATGCTAGTGAAAGATATTCACATTGATCTAAATCACAGGCTTCCACAGATTAGAGAAAATATATAAATTGCAATTCTGGATATTTTAATTGCTTACCTGAGCTAAAAAGACCCAGCCTATTTGTTAAGTAACAAGACAATATGGTATGAAACCCAGGCTTTCTGATCTTATTGTTTTCTACTAAACCAACCTACCTTTGAAATGAGTCACTACATTTTATTTAATGGTTTATATATAAAGGATGTGTAATTTTGAATTAATTTCTTTTAAAATCAAGTTATATTTACTAGGTAATTCCCAGGCATGCATTACATTTTTAACTGAATCATTCTTAAGATAATTAAACAATCATAATCATGTTACCCCATATAAGTTAAGCTAGTAATAAGCAAGTGGTTACACCTGAGTTTAAAAATCTTATTTGGGCCTCCCCGGTGGTACAGGAGGTTGAGCCCAGTGCTGTGATGCTGTCCACAGCCTCTGCAGTGCAGGTTCCATTCCCCGCCAGACAGGGAGATTCCCACATGGTGCAGCAGACCTCTCCTGTCTCACCTGCTGCTCCCCTCAGCAGTGCTTTCAGTCTGTCTGCCTGTTCTGCTCCCCACTCTGTCTCTGGTGAAACCTCTCACCCTCCCACATCTCTGGCCTGTACCCCAGCTACTGTATAAATAAAAAAAAATAAATCTTAAAAAAATAATTAAAAAAAATCTTAACAAAATAATCAGATTAACATTCTACTGTAGTATGGACATACTAATAAGACAATCAGTAACCTTTCAGGATTGTCAAAAACCTGTAAAGATTAGCTATTTAGGAAAAAAGAATTGATCATCTTTGAAAATATATGAGTGAACGGATATCTGTGGTAAACCATAATAATCTTTTTATGCAAAAGTGTATGAGCAAATTCTTATTCATATTGAAGTGATTTAAGTAGATGTTATTTTAGAGTGATTTTGGCAGAGGATTTCAGAGTAGCTAACCTCAAAGAAGTTCTGAAGAAATACAGGAAATTGAAACGACAGCTGTGAAATTCTTTAATTTTTAAAAATTATGAAAAAATAATTTGACATTTCTACTCAACTTTTGTATTTAAAAATATGATTGGAAGATTCCTAAAACTGTCGTTAAAAATGAGGTATACCTTATTTGACTATTTTTATAAAAAGCAAAGGAAACACATTTATTCTACATATTTTAGAAAGATATTTTTTGTAAGGCAAGTAAAATTGTCAGAGTTCCAAATTGGACTACAAATGCTATTTCTTTAAAATGTTACTAATGAACAATAAATGCTCAGTAATGATCTTATATTTTCATAATATGGTCCTTAGAGATATATTGTAAGAAGCATAAATTCAATCAAAATTTCAAAAGAAAACCTTTATATTTATGCTGTTTCATAAAAAAAAAATCAACATATAAAGTTCATAAGATAAACTTTTATAATTAATCACACTATAAATAAGGCCAAATAAAATTTTCTCTTGATTGATTTCATTATTACTTAAAATTTTAATTCATTTCTTGCTGCCCAAATTGCTATTAATGAAAAGCATCCACTTAGAATTCAGGAGTAATGTGCTGCTTTTTAAATAGAATTGAGGCACACTGAGATCTTGTGGTACAGTAAACTTTCTCATCCCTAGACATTTTGCTTCTTCTGGGATGTCAAAAGAAGCTAGAACCTGGGATTTGTTGATGTTCCCAGGTGTTTTTACCTGTGGGATTAGCTGAATATCTAATATGAGAACACAGGATCTCTGGAGTGATTCTTACCATGGAATGCAATGAATAATAAACTAGCCATTTTTATTTGAGATGACTGTTCCCTTGGTATAAAAATCAGAACATATTCTATTTTTGATTGGTTGATTCTTCATTATTCTTGAAAAATTTGTTGTTGGCATCTGTTATATATGAACGTTGCAAAGATGCACTTCTTGAGACTACAAAATACACTCTGAGGAGATCACGTTAATACTTGTACTGTCTTTTCAGTTTGCTCTCTCTGGAGGAATATATTTCTGATTCTCAGAATTTTGACAGAACAGAAAGCTTAGATGAAATTGTTTCTGTCAAGTTCAACTATTTTTCATTTTCTATACTACTATTTATATACATATGTACACATATATTATTCACCTCACTTCCATTTGCTTGGACTTAAAGGCATGCAATATGGCATAACAGTCCACCCTTTTTTCAACATTCTATTCTTGCATTGAATGCAGTTTCAGAATAGACAGTGATGGGCAGAAATATATAGTCATACTTAACAGCTGCAAGATTATGCAGGCAATTCTTAATTATTTAATTCTTCCGATGGTAGGGAAGTTTTATAAACCTGAAAAATTAAAATTAACCTACTTTAAGAATTTATGTAATTATTTTTTATGCTTTCATAGGGAATATTTTGTCAATGCATGCAAAATAATGCTTAATATCATTTCTTTTTCACAATAAAAGTGAGGAAATATACATACTGTAAGGGACACATTCATACTGAACTTCAAGGTATTTATAGGTTCCCGGACATGGGTCTGGAAAAACATCAGGACCTGCCACCACTGCACACTGGGTTCTGTTATTGCACCTGGGATCAAAGAACAGATAAGAAAAAGTAAGTTTATGCAAAGTCATATTATTAATAATACCAATGCTACTTTTATTTCAGATCCTGTTACACAGACTTAAATAAAGTTTTGGTCATTTTAGGGTTTTAGACTTATTAAGAAAATATCTTTCCTATATCCTTAAAAATATTAATATCAATACATTCAGTTTACTCATTTTAATTAATTTAGTAATAAACTGACACAGCGTGATTTTGAGTTGGAAGTTAAATACTGCTTAAGCAACACTAACTGGTCTACAGAATATTGCCAATATGAAGATAGTTAGGAAGGATCATTTGATAAGAACTACTAAGTTTGGTTATACTAAAAAAAAGCCAAAAAGTTTTATTAGACATTTGGAAAATAAATTCACCAATTATTATTCATTTTATGACCAGCAAAAATAGGATTTTAGGTTTTCAGTGAAATCTAAAAGCAAAATTAGGAAGTTATATTTAAATATTAACATTTATTTTATGATTCACTTTACATAAATTAATATCATAAATATTAATAATCTATAAATAAAACCAGTTTTAAGAATTGATTCTCATGTTCCTTGTGTTCAATCAAATAATGACAGTAACTTCACACAGACTGCTGCTTCCAAATGCCAATATCCTTTAAATAAATTTACATCTCCAAAGGGAATAATCAAATGGCACTACTGAAGTAGAAGCACAAACTAGTCATCTTTTGTGGCAATCGGGCTAAACAGATTCAAACTGATTTAATAATGGGTAAATACACACATAATTATATTTAGTCTTAGTCTGACAAAGAAAACCCAAGTTCAGAGTGGCTTCACTATAATAAATTTTACCCAGAATCATTCTACATTCAATAATTTATCACTAAGTGAACCATTCCACGCAAAACATATTGACAATAAGTATATACTAGCATGGAATGAGACAATCCTGTTTTATGTTCTTGTTTATATATAATACAATAGTGTGTGGCTAGATTTTTTTTCTCTTACTTTCTTAACAAGATGCTTCATTTTCTGAAAGAACCTACACATGAGTTCTTGTCAGGATACTGATTGGATGAGGAACATTTAGAGCAGAACTGATTTTGATTTAGAATGAAATGCTTTGTGTTTATTTGAGGCTACCATTTGCCAGACTTAATGAGCATTTTATTAATTCCCTAAATTAAACTTGATTTATTAAGTGAATGTCTGAAACTAAAGAAAACACTATACTATCAGTAAAAGATTTATAACAACCAATATTCCACATGCATCAGGCAATTTAACATAACAGTTAGTCCTGAGGGTCAAGATATTCCAAAGTTCTCTTGCGTATATTTCATTTTTGAAGCTGATTATCAGACAGTTACACAATAACCTTAATGTAAATGAGTCTATCCTCACACATGCACTGCAGATAGGTAGCCTACCACTGTAGATTACTGAAGACTTTTAAAAAAGAGCAGTACTTCTCTATTACAAATATCCAATTGAAGTTTTCTCAATCTAAAAGACATAGGTTTTTGTGTTTAATCACAATTTTCACATCACACCTTAAAAATAAACTCATATGTAATCTTGTTTTTTATCAATAAACATACATAATAAATTCAAGTTTTATAGTAACAATGTCCTATGAATCTGTGTAACCCTTTAAATAGAAGTGTCATGTTCACATTCATCTTATTTGTCATTTCTCTTGTGGAATGGACATTACTACTCCCAATTGCACAGAGGAAGGAATAGGTGAGGAGACATTAAATGACTTTTTTTTTTAATATTTTATCTTTTTTTTTTTTTAAAGATTTATTTATTTATTTATATAAGCACTGGGTACAGTCAGAATGTGGGAGGGTGAGTATTCACCAGAGCCAGAGCGGGGAACAGAACAGGCAACCCTACTGAAATACACTGCTGAGGGGAGCAGCGGGCGCAGCTGGAGAGGTCTGTTGCGCCATATGGGACCCTCGCCTGCGGCCCGGGATCGAACCGGTGCTGCAGAGGCTGTGGGCAGCTTCACAACCCAGCTCTCAACAACTGTACCACCAGGGAGGCCCGACATTAAATGACTTTTAAGACTCTTGGTAATCAAATGAGAGACACTGGACTCCAGAACAGTGACCTGAAAACCAAGATACTGCTTTTTTGTGAGAGTGTGAGTCAGTCATTTCATGGTCCACTCTGGGAAGCTGATTTAATTCACTCTGATAGGTTCTCAGCAGTACTAAGATGATCTGATGATGTAAAGACGAGCTGTGAAATATCTAAGTGGCCCAGGATATCATTCAGTCATGGTGTGGCTCAAGCATTTCATAGAGGTTCAGAATATGAATTGCATTACATAACTAGGCCTTCTCATTCCACATTGGCATACACCAACAGAAAGATCAATCTCTGAGCATAAGGTAGAAGGGATAATAGGATAAAGCGATGCTTATTTATATATAGACTTTTCCAAAAGAAAAAAAATAACCCCATTTTCATTCAACCCATATATAAAGCTCTAACTTAATATAGGTGCCTTCTACCAATCCATTTTATTTAATACATGTAATTTTGTATGTTGAATGCTATTGGTTATTAACACCAATTTTAAAGAAATAGTGTTTAAAAAGATGTCTCATGATGACTGCCAGGAAAGATATACATCACCAAATCAGTAGAAGGATGCAGAATAATTTACTGCTACCTTATTCATTCCAATATGGTTCATAGCAGGATAAGAACAGATTAAGAGTGATAATGAAAAGTTACCTCTGGACAAAAAGTTCCCTCTAGATGGCACAGCATACTGCCACATATAGTAAAGTTGACACTGCTAAGTTTATCTGCATATCAGCTATTCAGCTAAATGCTTATTATATATTAATCCATCAGCTTCTGACTCTTCTGCAAAATTCAATAAGGTAATTTGTTTTAATTCCCATTGCTGGATGAAATAATTAGTATTCTGTCATCCCACATCTGGTTACAACATATTTATAAATGAAGCATATACAGATGAATCTTAAATATAACATAACTTTATATTTTAAAAGACTCACATGATAGGCATATAAGGATTATATTTGTGGTCTCCACAGCTAGAGTAACCTCACATGGTACTATTAAAATAATTTAAGAAAGACATTGTTATATTTATGTACTGCAAGTGTAATCCATAGGGCTTTTCATTTCATAAGCCATTTAATCATATATTCTTATCACACTTAAGATCAAGGTACAAACAAATTACTGCTAAGAATGTTTAAAAAAAAACAAACTCAAATGAGATTACAGCTATATAAATGTATACAATTCTACTGAAAATCAAAGGAATGTCAAGATATGCAAGTGTAAAAGAATAAAAAAAAGGTTCTCCATGAAGGTCTTTTGTTAGCAAAATTAGTCATAGGAATTCACATTAGCACTTACCAAACAGAATTTATACAAAAGCATGTGATGAAGAAACACACATTCCCCTAGCATACCCAAGTAGCTCAGTGCATCTAACATATGACTAATCAGTGTGTAATCATTTAAGAATAGTGCATAGTCCTCTAAGAGCAAAATGTTTAAAATATATTTGTTAATACAAAAAATAAAGCACCACCATCATAATACATTAATATTTAAAACCTGAATATAGCTTAGGTAATGAGTGTATCTAGGTTTTCTTAATTCTCAGAAAGGAATGTGGCGATACAAAAACAATAATATTAATGTGTGAATATCAACAGTAATTTGCTCAGTACCAATCAACAGAACAAATCTCATTGATTCCTCAAGACAGTACTTTCCTTATTTTCCACTGTCTGTGACTCTGAAGCCTACAGACATGGCATCATTTTGCACTTAGAAGTCTGGGAGGGATAAGGCAACTATCTCATGGTAGATTATGACTAATAAGTTGTAAAGGATGCCATTAGATCTCAAGTGGTAGGAGAACTAAGTGTTCAGAGAAAAGCAATCAATCATCATGATTATATATATGTGTGTGTGTATATATATATATATATATATATTCTACCATTTGTAGATATGTAAGAAATTCTCCCATTTCTTACATTCAGATAGGACGTGTCCATTTACAATTTAAGCGACAATTTAAGGTAAATAACAAAAGTGGTAAGATTTTATTTTTTTAAAGATGTATTTATGCATACAAGAATTGGGTTATAGGACAGAGGTTTTGGGAGTGAGAAGATTCACTCGAGACAGAGCAGGGAACAGAACAGGCAGATCGACTGAAATGTACTGCTGCGGAAGCAGCAGGCGAGTCAGGAGAGGTCTGCTGTGCCATATGGGTAGCTCCCTGAACGGGGATCAAACTCATGCTGCAGCAGTTGCAGATAGCTTCATAGGTTGTGTCTTAACCCCTTGTGTCACCAGGGAGGCCCAAAAGCGGTAAGATTTTAATTTGGTATATTCATTTTTGAGAAATGCTTTTCTAAATCTTAAAGTGAAAGCATTTGCAGGGGTTTCCAGAAAATAGTATGACAATGCATGTGCACCAGGTTTAATGATTTACAAGGTGATTCTCTAGACTATGATTTTCATTTTCTATAATCTTTTATATTTAACTTCACATCCCTTTGCAATAGAGAAATATAATTTGACAAAAGGAAAAGAAAATATGTGATGAGTGAGGAGTCTAGAAACTAGATTATTGTATTATTTTTCTTGCTGCTTCTGGAACAAATAACCACAAACTTCCCACACAAGTCTATAAACAACTCAAAACTATACTCTAATAGCTTTGTAATTCAGAAGCAGGATTAGTTTCAAATGGAGGCTCTGGGAGGCTCAGTCCTTGTTTTACCCCATTTTCTATGTCATTTGTTGACTTGTAATGTCCACACACATCACCTTTTCTCCCCCTGTGATAACACCTTTTTTTCCCATTTAGCCATCTTGCCTCCTTCTTATAAAGATCCTTGTGATTACACTTAAGACCAGTTTATTCAGGATGATCTGCTTATTTTAAAGCCTTAACTTCATCACATATGTAAGGATGTTTAGTCA